CACCATTGCTGACGAAACCAAAGGACGACGAAGAACTCCAACTTTACTTAGCCATTTCAGAGCACACTGTCAGCGCCGTATTGACCAAAGAGGAGGACGGACAACAAACGACGGTGTACTATATAAGTAAGTCCATAAATGGCCCGAAGACCAGGTACGCTTTACTTGAAAAAATAGTTTTGGCCTTAGTAACTGCTTCAGTTAAGTTACGTCCTTACTTAGAGTTACATACTATTTGTGTTCGAACTATCTATCCCATGAGCTCTATCATGAGGAATTCCGAATTGTCAGGTCACATGGCTAAATGGATGATCCAACTGGGAGCTTATGATCTCAGATATGAACCAAGAACGGCTTTGAAATCCCAAGCGCTTGCTGACTTTGTGGCGGACTTTAGTCCAAAACTCCAAACCAAAGCTGAAAATGAGACTTGTCTAATAGTCGAGGGATTGTCTCACTAGAAATGGGCATTACACACTGATGGAGCGTCGAACATAAATGGGGCAGGCCTAGGCGTAGTACTAAAGTCGCCATAGGGGGACACAATATTCCAAGCAGTACATTGCGATTTCAATGCCCCGAAAAATGAAGCAGAATATGAAGTGTTGATCGTCGGATTAACGTTGGTAAAGGATTTGGGCGTCAAAATGCTCTAGGTAAGATGTGATTTGTTATTAATCGTTAATCAAACTAATGGAGTTTATGCAGCAAAAGATTCCAAGATGATGTCTTACTTGCAAGTCGTTGCGGAATTGACAACGTGGTTCGACGAAATCACTTTTGAGCAAGTGCCAAGGGAGGAAAACACACAAGCAGACGCCTTGGCTACAATGGGATCATGTCCGGGGGCAGAAGTCAACAACAACATCTCTTTTGTTCACTTGTCAAGTCCAGCGATTGACAAATCGAGATCCGTCAATACCATCACACCATCATCACAAGACGACTGGATGCAGCCATATAGCATACTTGAGACACAACACCCTACCGGTTGACAAAAAGGAAGCTAAAGTGTTTATCTCCAAATTAACTAAATTCCTACTAATTGACAATGTTTTGTTTAAAAGATCTAAAGCAGGTTCGTACCAAAGATGTTTGGCACCTCAAGAAGGCGTCAAAGTGTTAAAGAACCTTCATGAAGGGGAATGTGGTAATCATGCTGCTGGAAGAAGCTTGTCCAACAAAGCTATCATATTTGGATACTATTGGCCAACCATGAGACAAGACGCAGTCACTTTCACCCAAAATTGTCAGCCTTGTCAGAAGTATGGACCAATCAACCATCAGCCCTCTAAGTCACTTCATCCGGTCTTTTCACCATGGCCCTTTATGAAGTGGGGCATGGACATTGTTGGGAAGCTGCTAGAAGCTCCAGGTCAAAAGGTTTACATGTTGGCAATGACGGATTACTTCTCGAAATGGGTGGAGGCCGAGCCATTCCGTCACATACGTGATGAACAAGTAATCTTTTTTATAAAAAGAAATATACTTTGTAGGTTTGGCATTCCGTCAGAGATTGTGTGTGATAACGGATCGTAATTCATAAGCACAATGACCCGACGCTTCTGCGAAAGGTACAACATCGAGTTGGAAACGTCAACTCCTAGGTACCCGCAATCCAATGGACAGGCCGAGTCCCGCAACAAGATAATTGTGTCTAACCTGAAGAAAAGGCTTGAGAAAGCACAAGGCAAATGGGCTGACGAGTTACCCTTGATACTATGGGTAGACAAAACGACTCTGAAAAAACGCAACCGGACAAACCCCTTTTTCCTTAGTTTATGGCCGTGAAGCGGTCATACCGACAGAAGTAGAGGTACCCTCTTCAAGATAAGGACTTATGACCGAAGAACAAAACAAGATGATGGAAATCGTTGGACGGGGGGCATGTCATTTGATGACATACAGGTTCTAAAAGAGGTGCAATACGATACCTTAAAGTTATTTCATTTTTAGTTTGTTACTTTCTTTTATATATTGTCATCATTTGTGACAAATCACCTTCTTGACGAGTCACTCCCGTGACGAATCACTTTCGTGACGAGTCACTTCTGTGACAAATCACTCCCGTGATGAATCACTTTCGTGACGAGTCACTTCCGTGACAAATCACTTTCTTGACAAGTCACTTCTGCGACGAGTCACTTCCGTGATGAGGCACTTCCGTCACGAATCACTGTCGTGATGAGTCACTCTCATGATGAGATAGACCAAACGAGATGACTGAAATCGTCTGGCTATTCACAGGTTCTGACAATAGATTTCGATTATATTTTATATATGTATTCTTAATTTATTACTTTCATTCACATATGAACGATCACTAATTTGAGCGTTGGAGGGCCGTTGGTTTTTAGCCAGCAACCTACGTTAACAAATTATTATTTTTGCACTGGAACCATTAATAATTGACGAGATGATGTACTAATATACATCGAACAAAGCCTACCACACGTCAAAACACAGTTGATGGGGGGCTTACATCAAACGAAGCCTTACAACAAGTCAAAACACAATTGACGGGGGGCTTACAGAATTTAATGGGAAGGGTTAGGCTGCTCATGAGAAATCATGGATCACAGTCCTAACAGAGCCCATACAATGCGTTTTGGCCAAAACCTAATAGAATATTATTAGGCATATTTGTTTCCTTGTATGTTTATAACTCTTTTATTATAAATATACATGTCAGGACTCCTATTGGAGTACCTTTCCCATTAATTCTCACATGGTATCACGAGCCCAAAGAAAACCCTAATTTTCTTTTCCGATCCACGTCGCCGCCATGACTTCCAACGGGGTGGCCGTACATAACAACGGACCATCGAGCTCAACCAAAGTGTTGAGCACCGCCCTTCTAAATTACTAGGAAGCTAGATACAAAGTGATTTTGGGAGAAATTCATTAGAAGAGAATTTTGGTGTTTCATGTATTTTGGAATTATTATGGTTCATGAGTTATGTGATTGGGATTTTGTATAGATACCGTTTACTTATGATTTATAAAGTGTTTTGAAAATATTTTTATACTAACGATTGTACGAATTTATATATATATATTATTATTATTTTAAAAGGTTAGGTGGGACTTATTTAGCATTATTGCTAATGTTTGTTTCTTTTATTTTTCTTTCTGTACATGATTTTGTACAAGTGTTGAGTTGATCGATGTTGAAGTTGATTTCGAGAGAGAGTTTTCGCTAGCAAACATTATTAGTAAATCATTGTAAATTTCTTTTTCAATAACTTTAATGAGTGAGCTTTTGATTTTGAAGTTTAAGTTGCTTTAGTCTGTGCACTCGGTTAAGAGAGAACTGAGTGTGGCGGTAACGCCCCTATTTCCCTTTTGATTTTCCGCTGCACAATTCTGATGTTTTCAAATAAAGTTAATAAATAATGTTTTATTTAAAGGTATTTTTGGGTGGGAAATTTGGGGGTGTTACGAATTGGTATCAGGGCCTAAGGTTGTTTTCTTGGGGATTTTTCAAAACATTTTACCAATGATTTTTCAAAGAGATTTTTCAAAGCGGTTTTCCAAAAAGGTTTCTAAATAAATTTTCAAAAACAAAAAAAAAAAGAAAAAAAATAGGAATATAAAAATGACTAGAAAAAAATCTCTTATTAGGAACGTGGTGAGGATCTTGAGACTTTAAAGATATTGATACATTAAATTCATGAAGTTACTTGCTTATATGAAGTATGTGGAGTTATTATGCTTCCTTGAATGTTTATATGCCATAGGACTTGAGTATGACCTTAGTATAAGACTTATATGTTTAAGATAGCGTAGAGACCTTACAAATGCTTAGCATTTAAGAAAGATGTGAGATTAGAAGTTAAGTAGTCAAAATGGCGAAAGTGTTGTGGTCAAATTTTTGACTGAAGATCCTACTCGAGAAACCAAGAATGATATGTGCAATCGCTATCTGGAGTTATTTGATTAAGTAGTATTTTAGTTACGAGGGCGTAACCTCTCTTTAAGGAGGGTAGAATGTAATACTCAATTTTTTTTAGTTATGCTTCGGGACGAAGCATCTTTTAAGGAGGGTAGAATGTGACACTCCAAAAATTTAAATAAAAATAAAAATAATTTTTATTAGTCAGATAAAATGTTATGGAAATGACATTTTAATTATTAAATGAATCAAACAAAAATTCAACAGTCGTGACATTCTAATCAGATAAAATTTCAAAATTTATGACGTTTTTGTCAGATAAAAATATTCCAGTAATAGAAAAAAAAAAGTGAACCAGACAGAAAATTAACATTTGGGACATTTTTAGTCTGATAAAAGTGGTCCGATAATAAGATTAAAGTAACGTTTTATATCAAGTAACAGTTATGCATATGGCATAAGAAGTAAAAGTTATATTTTTATTTTTGTATAAAAATAAACAAAGTAAAAACTACTACCTCCGTTCCTATTAAAACTTCCAAATAGATTTGACACAGAGTTTAAGATAGTGGGTATTGTGTGGTGGAGAGTTGTGCAGAGAAGAGAGAAATGTGTAAGAAATGTTGTGAACCACAAATTTTTTACTAAAAAGGGAAAGTGGAAGTTTTAATTGGAACGGATGAAAAAAGAAAGTTGGAAGTTTATTTAGGAACAGAGGGAGTATCATGTTTAAAGCCTGATAATATCAAATTTAACAGAAATTATTCTTATTTAGGGAATAAAAACATAGACTCATATTTTAAAATTTTAAAACTTTTTTTTACTCTATGGAATTTTCTCCAAATTGTGCAAAAAAGAGTGTACAAACTCAAATATACCAAAACTATCACGTGTTCTGGTAACAATATAACTCGGCATGTCAAGCATCCTTATCACAATAGATAAAATATTTCTATTATGTAAACTGTATCTACGTACCTAATAATAATAATAATAATAATAATAATATAAAATGCTTCAACTATTCAAACTACTCTTGTACGTACATAGCATATGAACCTAGACTATAAAAGAAGCTGTGTACGTAAATATCAAACACCCTTACTATCAGCCGGCAAATAAGCCGGCAAATAAGCCTCTAGCCGATAAACTTCGTCCAAAGTTTGCGATAAGAACAGAGATGCGAACAAAGCCGATCGGATAAACTAAACTCTAACTCAAACGCAGCCAAGAACCCTAATTATCAATATAAATAGCATCCTCCGCCTGCTTTATTCTCATTCACAAAACACAAATTTTCTCTACGAGTATATGCATATACGTATGTTTGTTTTCTTCTACACAATTTTCAACCCTGCGATTTAACTCAAAAACCAAAGCTGAAAGTCACATTAAAATCTTGCCCTTCATTAGAGGAATCCAACGAATCAAGAATCGTTGAAAACGATCGTCGAACGAGGGAGATATCATCCGCCGGAGTGTTGTCGGGCTAGTCTTCTCGACGGGAATCAGAGGAGGGAGAGACGCCGCCTTCTGCCATCCATTGCCGCTTGTCTCTGTAGCCAAAAATCGCCGCTATTTCACCTGTCCATCGTCCTTTAGAGGTAAGACGTGAACCTGCGTTTTTTTTTGTCTTCGTGTTTCCGGCGTATATTGAAGAAGACGACCATATGGTTACTGAAATGTTTTGACCTTGGACTGGGTTTTAATCTTAAATTGTGGGCTAACTCTTGGACTGAAATAATAAGTTGAACCTGGTTGGTTTACGTAGCAATTCAATAGATCAAATAGGATGAGTGAATTATTTAGTTATGTTAATAAAATAAATAAATAAAAACATTTGAGACTAAGAATATTTGTAGAAAGCCAGTGATAATTAGTGTTGATAATAATAAAAATGGAATTTGTGATATTGTGGGATCAATGACCATTTGGAGTTTTATTAAGAAAAAATAAACAAGTATTACCGAATTCAAATGAGGTAGTAAGTTGAAATTGAAGTTAGTTTATGGATCGGTTGTATTAGTAGATTAAACTAAACTGAGTTACAGTATATGAAGTGAACAGTTAATGGTGATTAATAAATTAAGGAGATTATAAATAGGTCATTTAGTATTGGATTGAATTAGATTAGAGTAAATTAATAAAAACAGATCACATTAATGGTGATTAATAAATTAAGGAAATTATAAAATTCGGATATTTTAATTAAAATGTAATTCGGATAGTATAACATGATATTGGATTATTAATAATTAAAACATCTTGGCCCGAATTCAGATAGTAACAAAGTGATTTAATTAGTAAAGTGATTAATGAATAATTAATAGATAAGCTAAGTTTGAATAAATTATTAATTAATCATGATAATAAATTCGAATAATAAACTAAAAGGAGGAAATCGGGTAAAATAATTACAAATAGAATAAGTGACTAATTATATCATCTTAAATTAAAAAGGTGCTCATTTAGAGACTGGAATTGAAGAAGAGATTTAGGAGCATTTGGATTTAAGGTAAGTTTCACGTCAACCAATATTAGTTCTTTTTCTTCGTGATTTCTTTTACATATTTTTGTGTGCATATTTGAGAATTGAATTTATGTGTGCTGAATTTGAGTGAATATTATTATATGAAAGGGTTGTATTTGAGATATTAGTTGATATACTGTTTTGTTGATATGAATTATTGTATACGATTTTGGGATATTTTGTAATAGTACGTAATTTGTTATCTTTGTGGGAGTTTGATAAAAAGGGAATTTTTGAAGTATAAACTTCGATTGATTTAGAGAAAAATAAATATTTTCATAAAAGGTGAGCATCACGGGAGAAATCCGTGGTGTTGGTTTTCAGCGTCCCTTAAAATGTGGAGGATGGTTAGGTCTACTACTACTCAATTTTTGTGGTTTTGGTTTGAGGTGAATTGACGGTCAGTAGAAAACATCCCGGCTTTTGAGTAGTAATGGTAGTAGTAGCTCCTAATCATTCAGGATTTGAGGTGAGGTAGTTGGTAGAAAACATCCCGGCTACCCGAATCGACTTACTAACCCGGAGGGCTTGGAATACCTTTAGGGGATGTGCACACTTAAAGTAGTTGTTTCCATTTCCATTGAGCAGTTGTGGTACCGGCGATAGTCCCAGGGTGGCCGTACATAACAACGGACCACCGGGCTCAACCAAAGTGTTGAGCACCGCCCTTCTAAATTACTAGGAAGCTAGATACAAAGTGATTTTGGGAGAAATTCATTAGAAGAGAATTTTGGTGTTTCATGTATTTTGGAATTATTATGGTTCATGAGTTATGTGATTGGGATTTTGTATAGATACCGTTTACTTATGATTTATAAAGTGTTTTGAAAATATTTTTATACTAACGATTGTACGAATTTATATATATATTATTATTATTATTTTAAAAGGTTAGGTGGGACTTATTTAGCATTATTGCTAATGTTTGTTTCTTTTATTTTTCTTTCTGTACATGATTTTGTACAAGTGTTGAGTTGATCGATGTTGAAGTTGATTTCGAGAGAGAGTTTTCGCTAGCAAACATTATTAGTAAATCATTGTAAATTTCTTTTTCAATAACTTTAATGAGTGAGCTTTTGATTTTGAAGTTTAAGTTGCTTTAGCCTGTGCACTCGGTTAAGAGAGAATTGAGTGTGGCGGTAACGCCCCTATTTCCCTTTTGATTTTCCGCTGCACAATTCTGATGTTTTCAAATAAAGTTAATAAATAATGTTTTATTTAAAGGTATTTTTGGATGGGAAATTTGGGGGTGTTACAATATTCCCTCTTCAACTCCTTGCCGCCGCAATTCTTATGGCAGCCGAGTCACCCTCTTCTGCCACCGGCCAGTCCACGCCCTACGCCGCCACCAGCTTCTCCTTATTTTGGCCCTTCAGTCGCTGGTTTTCCAGGAGTTGTCCGGCCCCAGCATGACAATCCTCTTTTCGGCTCTCCAATGGCAGCCATGGCGCAGGCTGTTTCTCATGGAATTAAATTGCAAACGTGGGCCAGATTGTTACCATCAAACTCAAAGCAGTTGAAGATTATCTTACATGGCGCACTCAATTCGAAGCATTGTTGGTGTCACAGGGTCTTTTTGGTATGTTAGACGGCTCTATTCCGGTACCTCCCCTTATACACTCTGGATTTTAATAATCATCAAATCGTTAATACTGACTATTATCATTGGCTTCGAGTAGATCAAACAATTCATTCCTGCTTGTTTGCTACTTTATCTCGTGAAGTATTAACTGATGTTCATGATAGTAAACATTCACTGGGTATATGGGAGCGTTTGCAGTCACGTTTTATGTCTGCCAGTTTACCTAGAGCTATGGAGCTTAAACGCTTATTATCTAATATCAAAAAGAAATCTAATCAATCCATGGACCACTATTTACGTGACATTAAAAATCTGGTTGATGCTTTAGCATCAATTAATTCCCCTGTGACTGAGAAAGCAATATTACAAAGCACACTCCAGGGGCTTGGCCCTGAGTATCAGTTTGTTACGGGTACCATCTCATTATATCCGGACAGCTTTCCACCCGACATCCTTCACCCGCGCCTCATGGAAGCTGAACAGACTGTTTTGCATCAACACCAAGATTATTCCTCCCCTCACCAAGCCTTTGCTGCTCCATTGGGGACTGGGCAGCCGGGTTCTTCAGCACCACGCGGCCGTGGCGGTTGCGGCAGAGGTGGCAGAGTGCGCGGGGGTCGCGGACGTGGCGGCAGAAACTGCCGCAGTAGTATTACGCACCATCAGCTCCTCCGGTGCACTCCAGCCAATCCGGGTCGAGACCTGCAGGGGGTGCTTCTGTCCCGAGACCTCCTAATGACGCTTCTGGTAAATCTGTTGTGTCCACTTTAAATATTAATGCTAATTATGCTTTTAGTACTCATGGTTCTTCTGCAGGTTTCCCGTCTTCTGAGGGTATTCTCGGGTCTGTTCCATCCCCAGTTGTGTGTCAAATTTGTTTCTCTGCAGGTCACTCTGCAATGCATTGTTCGTCCCGTTTTTCACAAACTTCTGCACCTGCGTTGATTACTCTAAGTGGCGAATCCAACGATGTTTTGTGGTATCCGGACTCCGGTTCCTCGGCTCACATGACCTCTTCTGAAGGTATTTTGTCAAATAAATTTCCTTACTCAGGCTCCATGACTGTTAGTGTGGCCAATGGTACTAATTTACCTATTGCTAATATTGGAAATATTACCTTAAATACTTTCAGTCGCCCCTTGTCATTGAAAAATGTTTTTCATGTGCCTCAAATTAAATTAAATTTAATTTCTATTCAAAAATTATGTGCTGATAACAACTGTGTTGCTATTTTTGATAAAAATTATTTTTTTGTTATGGAAAAACTTTCGGGGGCAGTTCTTCTTCAGGCGCGACATAATGGCCATCTCTACCCTATCAGTCTTACATCATCTACACCTTTAGCTCTTGCCATAGTCACTTCTCCTGGTCCTGTGTGGCATCGTAGATTAGGCCATTGTGGCGAAACTATTTTGCGCTTGTTGCATCGTAGAAAACTTATTTCTACTTCTTCTAATTTTGAACATTATTGTGTTTCGTGTCGTTTGGGTAAATCTCAACGATTACCTTTTTCGGATGCTAGCCATACTTCTTCTGCCCCATTACAATTAATTCATTCTGATGTTTTAAATATTATGTGTGTTTTATTGATGATTTTTCTCGATTTACTTGGATATATCCCTTGCGCAATAAAAGTGAAGTTTTTACTCAGTTTCGTCTCTTTAAAGTTTTAGTTGAAAATATGTTTCACTCTAAAATTAAAATTTTTCAGAGTGATGGAGGGGGTGAATTTGTTAATTCTAATATGCAGCAATTTTTTGACGAGCATGGCATTTATTTTCAAAAATCTTGCCCACATACTCCACAACAAAATGGACTTGCTGAACGCAAACATCGTCATCTCTTGGAATTTGCTAGAACTATGCTCATTACTGCCTCTATTCCTAGCACATTTTGGGTTGATGCTATTTTTACAGCTGCATATATTATTAATAGACTTCCTACTCCGTCTCTTAATGGTGTTTCTCCTATGATATTCTTTTTCAAAAACCTCCCGACTATAGTTTTTAAGAGTTTTTGGGTGTGCCTGTTACCCCAATTTTTCTGCCTCTCCCTCCAATAAACTTTCTCCGCGCTCCATACAATGTGTTTTTCTTGGCTATGCATCTGATTTTATAAAATACGAAAAAAGACGTTTTATACGGAATTTAAGAGTTTTTTAAAGGGTGCTTCTACGGTGCATTATTTAATTTTGTGGGTTTTTGTTGAATTCCCACACCGGAATCGTGTGAGGGAATTAAGTGCTATATTAAGCTCCGGGCTACTCCTCCTAACAGGTTGACCTTTTAGGTTGACCTAATATTATAAATGCTAATCTACTATAAATGTATTTTTTGTAAGAAGTGAATCTTTTAATAGTGATCGAAAAGATGTTTGAAGTTATAATTTATACTACGTAATATTTTATTACTTCTTTTTATATCTTTTATTTCCTTTTACATTTTGTTTAAATAGTAAAAAAAGAAACCGTATCAAATCGAACAAAATTAAAACTAATACTTTTCACTTTGGTAAACCGAACTCCAAACCGAACAAAAACCAAACCGAAAAACAAATGGTTTTAGTTTGGTACAAATTCTCCCAAATCGAATAAACTGAAACCGAACCGAAACCGAAGAAAACCAAACCGTAAACCGAATTGCCCACCCCTAGCTGAATACCCATTATCAACATATTCGCCTTAGTTATGTAAGGAGAAACTCGGGGGGTAATTATTTATAGTTTCAATATATTTTTAGTCCCTTCAAATGTGACACATTTTGTTTTAGGTTCCTGGAGAACAATTTTGTGTTTTTCATCATCTATGTAATACTACCACCGTCCCTTAAAACTTTACCAAATTTGAACGACACGGAGAATAATAAAGTAAAAACTATGTGGTTTAGGTTTGTGCATAGGAGAGAGAAATAACAGAAACCACAAAATAATTGATTAAAAGGGAAAGTGGCAAAATTTTTTGGGACGTCCCAAAAAGGAAAGATGACAAAGATTTAAGGGACGGATGGAGTATGCACTATTTTGTTTTTAGTTCACCCCTAACTCTAAAACCACTCTATTTACAAAATAAATTATTGCCCGTTGCTTGAATCTACTAGAAACATTCAAATTTGTCCTTTTATAAATTTTTTGAGTCAAATATAAAATTTAAAACAATAAAAAACGAATTATTCACATTTTAAAAATATGTATTAAAACCCTTGTAAAGAATAAAATTAAATATTTTTTTAATAACATGAAAAAGAATTAGAGGAATCCTATTAGTCGAGGTTACTTTAATGTCAAAAGGAGGTTACTATCATCATCGGCAGACTAAAACGAAAACCACTATCTATCTGTATACAAAAGGAGGTGAAAAAACAGTCCAATTTTCCCTCTCAAAAACATCGCTATCATGGTCAAGATTCGGTCCAAACCAAAGGTTTGGTTGTCTAGTGCGCCAGAAGCTAATATAGGATCATGAGTGTTCTGTTCAAAAGTTCTATTTAGAAAATAAAAATATAGATGCACTCATATTTATTTATTACAGTATTTGGGAATCTAAGAAACAAATTAGGATGTTTTCCTTTGGACATGTTTTTTTTTGTCTGATTTACTTAAATTTGATCTGGTCAGAACTGATCTGGTATGATTTGTTAAGTGTATTTTATAACTGTTCAAATTTAGTCTGATCTGATTTGGTCCTATCTATTTAAATTTGATACAGTCTAATTTGCTATGGGACTAAAACGTGAAAACCGTCAATCCTATTTAGGCTAAGTTAATAACGCAAACCACAATATAAGTTGTCGTTAATCAGGTGAAGTAGCACAATACTACAATGTGATTGGATAAAAAAATGTGTGTACCAGTGCATTCAAAATTTAGGAGTGCACGGTAGAATTTTTTCCATTTTTAAATGGACGAAACATTATTTTTCGTTTTAAGTTTGTTTTTTTATGAAAAAGAAAAAAAGAAAAGTTTCGCGTAAACTTGTTTAAAAGCAAAAAAGGTTTGACATAGGCGTTAGAGTGGCGCCACCTCTCTCGTCTCCTCCATCCGGTGTTGTACCCCACTGTATATTGTCGCAACTTCTCTGTTGAATGTAAGAGAAGCCGGGAAAAAGGTTTGATCATTTGCCTATGGATTTTGATGAAAGTCTGCTGCAGGGTCGATATAGGGGGACCTCGAAGGCGGCGGTAACAGACGATTCCGCCACCGTCTCTGATGGGCCCTGGATACAAATGAGTACAATGATGGAGCTCCACTCGGCCCATACCGATTGTCCTCTCTGAGGCCTCTGGATCGTTAATAGGCTCATTGGGCCGAGGATACTGAAGATGAGCGTCTTCTTACACTTTTTGTTGGATCTTGTTCAAGCTGGGCTCCGACGGTTTTCTTGTTTAAGGGGTAACGGGCGCGGGCCTATTAACCATACAAGAACTTTTATTTAGGCACGTCCCGAAAAGGAAAAGAAACATTTATTTAGGAACGGAGGGTGTAATATGTACAATATTTTCTAGTTTGTACAACTATACCTACCGTCCCAATTTGTGTTTTATAAATATTGACTGCAAAAAAAATAATACTCCCTCCGTCCCATTAGAAGGTTCCTACTTTCCTTTTTTGGACGTCTCGTTAAAAGCTAAGGTTCTCATTTCCATTTTTGGAAACAATTAACATTCTTAAGTGACAAATTTATTAAACATTAAAAATAATACATTTATAACATCACAATTATCAATACTAACTACATTATAATATGTACTTATTAAAATTATTTCTCAAAATAGACTCGAAGTAATTTATTTAATTATTGTCTAAATAACTGTGTCGTTTTGTTATGGGAACCTTCCAACAGGACAGGGTAGTAAAGCATTTGACTTGAGTCTGTCTTTACCATTTTACCCCTCACGTACTTATCTCATAAAGTAATACTCCCTCTGTCCCAATTTGATTTGCAAAAATTCCTATTTTTATTGTCCCAAAATGGTTTTCCACTTTCTACTTTAGGTATGTAAATAAGAATAAAGTGACAAATTTATCCTTACTTTTACTTTTTCCTCATTAACTTAAAGGCATCTGCTTTTAGAAAGATGAGCAAAAGTGTAAAAAGCAAACATCATTTATTGTCATTCCTTAATTCTTGTGCCGGTAAAAGTTTGCAATTCAATTCGGGACGGAGGGAGTATAGAGTACTCCATAAAGTAGGGCACACTTGCGTAGATTAAAAAAATGAAGTTGCAGACAAGTACAAATCAAAGCTACAGAGAAGTACCACTAGATGGTAAAAATCTAACTATCTAGTGGAGTAAAAATAAGAATTGAGTAAAAATTGTGGAGAGGAGAGACAAGTACATCCTTAAGTTAGGTGAGAAATAAGAATACTAAAAATTGTGTGGTTGAAGTTTGTGCAGAGGAGAGAGAAATGAGTAGAACCACAAAATAGTTACTTTAATGAGAAAGTGGTAAAGTTTTTTGGGATAAACAAAAAAGGAAAGATGACAAAGTCCAATGGGACGGAGAGAATACATTTTGGTAACATCATTCGTACATTCGTACATAGAATTGTATGTTCACAGACAATTCTGTAGAGTTCTCTATGGACAGACATTTTGTGTCCGTGGGACGGACGAATGTACGAAATGTATACATTAAAATTGCGTGAAAATTTTTTCGAATACATTTCATGCCTTGTGCTGCCTAGTGCTTGCTACGCCCCAAGTGAGAGGGAGTAGAAAATGTGCAAAATAAACGTCAGGCTAAATTAATCATTTTGTTCATGTTTCTATAGAAAGTGAAAAATCACTTTCCAACAACAATTTACAAATTGAGAGGGAGTGCCACGAAGTCACTTCAAAATTCAAATTAGATCAAACCAACATAAATATATCATGTCAGAGTTCATGTTACATTAATTAGTAATATGTATCCTAAAAGTAAGCTTCAGTTTAAGTGAATTGTTTCTTAAGGAAATAAAATGTTGTAGAAAATTCAAAAGGACGGGTAGTTATTACATTGGATGATTGGAATGTGAAAAGTAATATATACTCCATACGAATTAAGAGCCCATTTGGTAACACTAAAATTGGCTGAATTGGCTGATTCTGCTGAAATTTATGAAGTTCTGGCTGAAGTGGTTGTATTGGTTGATTCTGCTGATTCATGAAAAAATTATATTTAAAATATTTGTTATTAATAAATTAAATAAAAAATTATATGACAAAATAGCTAAAATGATTCTCTACAGTAACTTCAGCCAATACAGGCAGAAAAGTAATTTCACCTTACTTTTTCTGCTTATTACAAACTTCGGCGCATGAAATCAAAAGTTACGTGCTTGATGAAAAAGCTGGCTGATAAACCTGATAAGCCGAAAAAAGGGGTTATCAAACGGGCTCTAAGTGTGTCCTGATGAAGTGTTATTTTGATATTCTAACTACTTTGTATATTATAGTGCATTTAACTCATTGTGAAAAAGATTCAGCATTCCTTTGGGTAAGCTAAGTGGCAATATAAGATTTGATTTTCTAAATAAATTGATCGAAGTACATTTTCCCCCATTTCTAAAAAAATTGTTATGTGACGGTTTTTAACAAGCTTACAAAATGATATTATGAGTCTTTTTCAATTTTCGTACACAAAGAAAATAGGTAAAATTCCAGGTTAATGGTTAAAGTCATTTTCAATATGTAATAGAGATCTGGGTTTTTGGTAAGGGTGGTAATTATCTCGATGTTTATTGTAGGTTGAAATTAAAGATAAATATTGGCGAGGAATGGTGATGTAAAGGTTAAAGTTGAAGTTGAACTGCCAAGTAAAGACACGTGAATCAATCACGACCTTTAAGGCCATTTTTAGGGCATTAGGAGGCAGTTCAAGGCCCCTAAAATCGATTGATAAGTCAAAGTGTAAAAATATTGTTAATGGGTTGTTTTGGTGATTTTTATTATCCACAAAAAAATATCCCTGGTAAGGTTACTTTTTCAATTGTTTTTTATTGATTTACTATTGGAGACCAAAAAGACCCATTTAATTACCTTTCTATTAATATTAATGTGTATTTTATGTTTCATTTTATTTTATTTTAAATGTGTGTGACCTTGTTAATATACCTTATAGAAATTGTATTTTTTAATTAATTTACTCATAATAGTAACAAAATATAATACGTAGTACTAGCTAATGTCGTTCGTTCATTCAAAAAAACCGCAATATTTGGAAGATAGAACTTGTATAGAACAATATAAAATTCGTAAGAGTAATTACAAAATATACAAAGTAAATTGTTAACTAAGTAGTCTTATAAGTACCTAATCAAGAAAAAAAATTACTAGCATAGTTCACACCCATATATTTAAGGGAAATTTCCCAAAATATGACTAAAACATATTGAGTCTCCCTAAATATGACACATTAAGGGAAATTACACATTTTGACTAAAACATATTGAGTCTCCGTAAAACACGTACTACTGTAATACACAAACACCAAGGATGTATAAGAGTGACTAGAATTAAAAATTCATTCCATATAATTGTGCACATGTACGTCCTCAATGTTGTACAAATTTTAAATTAAGTATGGGGAATGAAGTGACATGTCATAACAAGTAATCACAGATATGGGGAATGAAGTGACATGTCATAACAAGTATGGAGTAGTTCTGTATTTTCAAATATGATCAAAGATCACTACAAGTAATCACACATTTTATGACAAAAGTTTGGGTGACAAAACAAAAATTGTCACGTTTAATTGAGTTATAGTTTCAAAATGTGAATTCGTCACTTTAAAACGACTTATTATGACAATATTTTTGATGATCACTTTCTCTTAGACGTTGTCACTAATTGATAAAATACGTTACAATAAAATTGAATGTGTCATGTTATTTGAATTATAATGACATACCATATTTTGTTACTAATTGTTTTATTAAATAATGAAAATATTATTTCATTTTTCTTTTGTAATGATTAATGACGTTGTTAATTAGGAACAACCTAAAAGAAAAAGTGAGAAGTATTTTTAGAAATAACCTAAAAGAGAAAGTGAGAAGTATTTTTGGGAACGGAAGGAGTATTTGTATAGCCAAATGTACTCCCACCAATATTTCATCATTATTGCACCAAGCATCAAGAAACATTCAATATTCTTTTTTTAAAAAAGAAATATTCAATTTGCTAACCACTATTCCAAGATTATTTGAAACAAATTTTAAAAACTGATGCATATTTTAGATTCAATGTTTGGGTGAGATAATTCGCCGATTACGAGTCAGAGATGATCCGGATGACATCATTGCACACGGTGTAGAGTGTCTTACACGACTTGGTGCAGAAGAAGCGATTGATCATGACATCATCACATATGAAGCTGCAGATGTTGATCCTCTCACTAAGTTCTTACATAAATGCAGAGGTATACAAACTAAGTTCTTACATAAATGCACATTCCACTGATATCATGCTATTGCCGAATCTGAATGAGTGGCCACAAAATGAGTTCATTCTTCTGCCGCCTAAATACTCTTCCAGAACTTCTCGAGTAGGACGCCGTCAAGAAACAAGATTTCCAAATGAGATGGATATGCGTCCAAGACGCAGAGCACAACATGATTGATTCACATTTGTACTCTCTTATGGTGTATTATTTCTTTTCTTTGTAGTTTGTTTTAATGTTGTAACACTTTTATTAGCCATATGTTTCAAATGTACTTTTAATATGTTATGAACTTTGTTTAATTTTGAGTTCATATGACTTAATGGGTCACTTATTATTAAACACGTGATACTGTAAACTGTATTTGTAATTACTTTCAAGTTAATAATGCTGAATGGGTCAACTGTTTTTAAAACTCGTCACATTGATTAAGTATATTGATACTTTTAATCGATGTACTTTGTTATTTTTTGGGTTCACATTTTTTAATGGTTAGGTTTTTATTATTCGGGTTCAGTATTTGTGTTCAAAATATTTATTGGGTCAATTTTGTAAAACGTGTGCTTATTTAATTGAATAAGTCAACTTTTTGTAAAACGCGTATTCATGAACAATATTGTACAATTTTTACTTAAGTTGAATCACTTATAATTTATAACAAATACAAAAAAATCTTTTAAAAAAAAATTTAACAAAATTTTTTACTGAAGTGAAAAATTCAGCAACAAAATTGAGGCCAAACAAAATAAATCATCTTAGAATTCGTTTTCGGACCTGCCAACTCCGTTTTGTGCTATCCCAGAAAACTTCAAAAAAAATACATCTTTAGGAATCAGATGTTAGAAATGTGCACTTATCCGTCAAACACCCGCTGCTAGGACATAATATATGAAGTCCTATGAACTATACGGTGTGTTTTTGCCTTTATCCAAAATGAAAACCGAAATACCAACAGTCAATATGGTGACTGAGTTAGAACGGACAGCACCCTGACAACCACTTTAAATAACTTGGCCCATATTTTACCACGTCGTAGCTTTGGAAGTTGGCCCATCTTTTAGCAGGTCGGAGCTTTATAAACTTCCGATGGAATACTAATTTAAAGCTGCTACTCTGTTTTGTCATTTACTCTGTAAGATAACCATCTACCTACACCATATTAATTTATTGGGCTTCAATCCCCCACCTTCATTCTTAGAAGCCAATACAACCGTGACCCCCTCCCTCCCATCATCCAACCACCGGCAAGCCCCACTCTTCCCAAGATCATGGCTCATGGAATGGGTCCTTGTTAGAAAATAGAAGAGGTTGTTGGTTGTATGAGTAGAATAAGTGATTTTAGTGAGGTGTAATGTAGATGATGTGTTTTAGAGGAGAGCTCTTGTCTCTAGATAAGTAGTATTGTATTGATGTTTCTTGGTTTTTGCTTGGTTTGAAAATGAGTACAATGAGTCCTATTTATAGGAGCTAGAGGATCATTCTAGATCCTTATTAAATGCTATGATTCTAGAGTATTCTACATCTATGTCTAATTACTCTAGATTTTACATAAGAATTCTCTAGTAGAGAATTTTCTAGAATACTTTCTACCTTTAACTCTCTAGATCATCTCTAGCCTTTTCTACATAGAATATTCTAGATAAATGCATCACTATTTAATACTCCTCCTTGATGCATTTGTCGGTGACTCCAAGCATTCTTCGCAGAAACTGGAATCTGTCTCTTGGCAGGGCATTCGTGAAAATATCTGCCAATTGTTCTTCTGTTGGGCAGTACTTCATCTCAATATGCCCCTTTGCTTGGACATCTCTCAAGAAGTGATACTTGATATCGATGTGCTTAGTACGATTGTGCTGAATTGGATTTTTAGCCATCGCAATAGCTGACTTGTTGTCGCAAAATATTTGAGTCGCAGAACTTTGCAATTCTCCCATGTCTTCTAATATTCTTTTTAGCCATATAGCTTGGCAAGCTGCTCCGGCTGCTGCAACATACTCGGCTTCGGCTGAAGATAGTGCAACAGAATCTTGCTTCTTTGATCCCCATGAGAAAATTCCCGAACCCAGCTTAAATGCGTAACCGGAGGTGCTTTTCATGTCATCTTGAGATCCAGCCCAATCACTGTCGCAATATCCAGTTAGTCGTGAGTCAGGAGTTGTTTTGTACCAAATACCATAATTGATGGTTCCTTGTAGATACCTAAGGAGTCTCTTTGCCGCTCCATAATGAGTCTCAGTTGGACTTTCCATGAACCTCGAGAGCAAACTTGTAGCATACATGATGTCCGGCCTCGTAGCCGTTAAGTAGAGTAGACTCCCAATCAAACTTCGGTAATTGGTTGCATCCGTCTGCTTTGACCCATCTTCTTTCTTCAATTTTTCATTAGGAACCAGTGGAGTAACGACGGCTTTGCAGTCTTGCATTTTAAACTTCTTTAGCATGTCCTTAATATATTTTTCTTGAGATAAGAATATGCCTTCTTCTTCTTGACTTATCTCCATGCCAAGAAAGTAGTGCATTAATCCCAAGTCACTCATCTCAAAAGTGTTCATCATGTCTCTCTTAAATTCTTCAATTAATTTGGAATTATTTCCCGTGACAATTAAGTCATCAACATATAGAGAGACGATGAGAATGTCAGATTTACCTTGGGATTTGATGTATAGTGTAGCCTCGTTCTTACTCCTCCTGAACCCTTGACGGGTGAAGTATCCATCAATCTTGCTATACCACGCTCGTGGAGCTTGTTTGAGCCCGTAAAGCGCTTTCTTTAGACGAAGAACTTTTCCTTCTTCTTTGATGAATCCTTCTGGTTGCTCCACATACATTTCTTCTCGTAGCTCTCCATTTAGAAAGGCTGACTTGACATCTAGCTGATAAATTTTCCATTTCTTTTGAGCAGCAAGAGCTATGAGTGTTCTTATTGTGTCCATCCGGGCAACTGGTGCAAACGTCTCTGTGTAGTCAACTCCCGGTATTTGAGCATACCCCTTTGCAACCAGCCTTGCCTTATGCTTCTGAATTGAGCCATCGGGGTTCAGTTTTGTTTTATACACCCATTTGACTCCAATAACCTCCTTGTTATGTGGAAGATCTACCATTTCCCAAGTATCATTCTTTTCTATCATTTTGATCTCCTCCTCCATTGCTTTAATCCAAACTTTTTCTTTGGAGGCTTCGGTGTAGCTATATGGCTCCAAGGAGCAAAAGTTGCATGTTTCATAGATGTCAGTAGACTCATATAGGTCTGCTAGAGTTCTTACCCGAAGAGGTGGGGACTCTGGTGAGGAGTCGTGATTTCTTGATGTATTAGCTTCAAAAGAGGATCTTGGAGTAGACGTGGGGCTTTGTTGATCGTGATTTTCCTCTTCTGGTATTTCCTCTAGTTGGACAGTAGTTGTCTTTCTTTCAACTTTTTCTGTCTCCCAATTCCAAGAGGCTTGCTCGTCAAACTCCACATCTCGACTTGTCACCAACTTCTTTGTCTCGAGATTGTAGATTCGATATCCCTTGGATTTGGAGCTATAGCCAAGGAAGATGCCCTTCTCTGTCTTGTCTTCTAATTTGTGCCTTTTAACAGAGGGAACATGAATGTAGCATATGCTTCCGAAGACCTTCAAATGTTTGGCTGAAGGCTTTTGTCCAGACCATGCCTCAATAGGTGTTTTGTTTAAAACCGCCTTAGTTGGACACCGGTTTAGAAGATAGACTGAAGTATATACTGCCTCTACCCAGAACGTTTTAGGCATTCCTTTTTCAGCTAACATAGACCTTGCCATCTCCATGACTGTGCGGTTCTTCCTTTCGGATACCCCATTTTGTTGTGGAGTGTATGCTACTGTTAGTTGATGCTCTACACCTTCATCTTCACAGAACTTGTCAAATTCTTTTGAGTTGTATTCGGTACCTCGATCGCTTCTCAACTTCTTGATTTGATGACCACTCTGTTTCTCCACGAAGTTCTTGAATCTCTTGAATATTCTAAAGACTTCGGATTTTTCTTGGAAAAAATACACCCATGTCATCCTAGAGTAATCATCGATGAAGAGTATGAAGTACCTGTTCTTCGAAACTGAAGGCGTGCGCATTGGACCGCAAACATCGGTGTGAACAAGCTCTAGTATCTGTTTGGCTCTCCATGTCTTTTCTGTTGTAAATGGTTGCCTGTGCTGCTTCCCAACCATACATCCTTCACATACTCCTTCTTTTTCATCCAGTAGAGGCATGTCTCTCATCATCTTCTTTAGGTGTAGTAATCTCAAGGCATTGAGATTGAAGTGCCCAAATCTTCGATGCCATAGACTCGTATCACTCAGTTGAGCCACCATCGCCTTTTGTGGATATTGCCATTGAATAGGAAAATTTCTATTATTTCCCATTTTTACTTCAGCAATTTCTTGATTATTGTTCTTGTCATAAATTCGGCAAGAATTTTTCTCAAAGTGCAAGGCATATCCACTTTCCATCATTTGGCCAACACTTAGTAGATTTTGTGCAAGGCGTGGCACTAGGAGAACGTTTCTAATAAAGCGCGTACCTTTCTTTGTATCTATGACAATGGTACCTTTCCCCTTTGCCTCCACCAAATCGCCATTTCCCATCTTGATGTGGTTTAAAGTTTTCACCATTTCTCGAGTGATTCCTTTTAATGTTGAGCTTAGACTGGAAGGCACTTTCTAATGAACTTTCGTGTCGTCTGTTTAGCCTTTGCTCACGTGCTTCTAGCGATCCCATTAATTCAGTGATGGACATTTTTGATAGATCTTTTGACTCCTCAATAGCCGAAACTACTGGATCATATTTTTCAGGGAGACTGATTAGGACCTTCTGGATTATTCTCTCGTCGGTTATGTTTTCTCCAAGAGTTCTCATTTCGTTGACTATATGTATAACCCGAGAGAAATAATCTTTTGCCATTTCAGAATCTCTCATCTTTAAATTTTCGAGCTCTCTTCTTAAACTTTGTAATTTAATAGTTCTAACTTTCTCATTTCCTTGAAATTCCTCCTTAAGAATATCCCAAGCTTCTTTTGCCGTAGTAGCACGAATTATTCTCGGGAAAATAGTATCACAAACGGATTGTTGAAGAAGATAGAGAGCTCTAGCATTTTGCTGTTTTTGTTTCTTACGTACCTCGAAAGTTGATGCGTCGTCGCTTCCTTTTTCCGGCATGATGATTCCTTCTTCAACAATATCCCAGAGATCATGTGATTCTAGGCAAGTCTTCATACGGACACTCCAATAGTCATAGCTTTCTCCATTGAACATCGGAGTTGATACCGAGAAGCTTGATGTCGCCATAATGCCCGCTTATGATCGAACAATCTCTGATACCACTTGTTAGAAAATAGAAGAGGTTGTTGGTTGTATGAGTAGAATAAGTGATTTTAGTGAGGTGTAATGTAGATGATGTGTTTTAGAGGAGAGCTCTTGTCTCTAGATAAGTAGTATTGTATTGATGTTTCTTGGTTTTTGCTTGGTTTGAAAATGAGTACAATGAGTCCTATTTATAGGAGCTAGAGGATCATTCTAGATCCTTATTAAATGCTATGATTCTAGAGTATTCTACATCTATGTCTAATTACTCTAGATTTTACATAAGAATTCTCTAGTAGAGAATTTTCTAGAATACTTTCTACCTTTAACTCTCTAGATCATCTCTAGCCTTTTCTACATAGAATATTCTAGATAAATGCATCACTATTTTCTACACCATATTAATTTATTGGGCTTCAATCCCCCACCTTCATTCTTAGAAGCCAATACAACCGTGACCCCCTCCCTCCCATCATCCAACCACCGGCAAGCCCCACTCTTCCCAAGATCATGGCTCATGGAATGGGTCCTTCCGACTATGACGCCCTGAGCATCCAGTTTGGTACCCTGGGCATGGAACCCACCATCCGGAACATCCCAGAAGATATAATGATAACTTTATCCACCACAAGAAGTATGGAGGTTGACCGGGATGACTTTCACCAGGTGACAACATTCCGCTGTGAAACTACGACATTTGGAACCATAATATTGAAAGTGGTTCCTGGAAGCAGATCGACTAAACTGATGGAGTCCTTCCAGTTCACTCAAAGCGTGTTGTGCAGCCTTCCGAATGTATTGAAGCCCATAATGGTCATAGAAGTTGGTGCTTTCGTATACTTCATGCTAGAGAACTACGATGAAGTATGCAGTGAAAGACATAAGAACAAAAACCTATTGAGGTATTACTTTATAATACTAATAAACTGATGTAGGTATATGAGAACCAACTTTATATATAGAGTTGGAACAAATTTCCTATCAATGTCATATGCATTTTTCCCTAATGGAAACATTTGCGCTTATATTGACATCTCTTATTTTCTTATGCATGGGAAAATTTAAAGCAATTATAAATTGTACGTAATACGTAGTATTTTATAGGGATAAACAACTTATTGATAGATATAAAATTTTGTAGATAATTTGTGGAAAAAATACATGCCCTACAAAACAAGACCAAAAGAGGGGAAAAAATCACAAATATGAGTTATAGTTTTATTATTTGCCAAAATAAGAGTTTTTTTTATGTGAAAGAATTAGGTTTTAGTGTTATTTGTGCATTTGTGTTTTTCCATTGAGTCATATTAGTACTACCGAGGAAACGAACTTCTACCACTATGTTTTAAGACCTGAACCGGACCGACAGGATCGACCCGGAACCCGGTCACCCGGAGCCCAATCCGGTCCAGTAATTCATCAACCCGCTAATCTTGCGGAACCTGGATTTACCCGGCTGACCGGCCAAACCCGGTCTGCAACCGGGACGGCCCAAACCCGGAATATTCATAGAACCCGGAATCATGTCCAAAAATTCTCCTCCGAACGGATTCAAACTCAAGTCTGTATCGTAGACATGCAACTTTCTAACCAGCAAGCTACGCCGTGTTGTTTGTTCAAGTTGGTTTTAATTGAATTTAATATGTATTTCAGTCAATACATTAGCAACTACCTAGTACTTTTTAAATAATAACAAAACTAATCATAATAAAATATAACAACATTAATAAAAACTACGTACTATTATTATAATAACAAACTGAAAGTGTTTATATAGCATTTAATTTTTTAATAGACATCATATCTGTATTTATAGTCAATTTAATTTAAAATACTTTTTATATTTTGTTAAAACATGTATATCTTAGAATAATAAATTCATAGCTATTTGACCGGGTTTTTCAGTGTTGACCGGGTTGACCCTCCGGGTCCAGGTTGACCCGTGACCCAGTCCTTCGGCCGGGTCGCTTCCCGGGCCGGTTTTTACAACATTGAGTTCTACCTCCATAAGCATCCATACGTTTGTGATAAAAATTAGTCCACACACTGTGTCAGGAGAAAAGATATTAGACTGTGATATTTTTGTAGTAATTAGATTTACATGTTTATACCCCAATTGAAAGATTTTAATATTTTTTTAGAGAACTTCTCGAAGCCGTGAATTCGATTAATGAAGTAGGGGCCCATGGAATGCTCAGCCATGGGGAAAACATTGTGGTGAGTCAAAACCACATCAAAATCACTGGTGCAGTGCCGATAAACAACATGATGCAAACTCACAAGGACCAGGACATACATGATCTAGGCACGTTGCTTAATAATTTGTTTGTCCGTACCGGACGTGTCTGCCATCCGGGCATCATGAGTATCGTGTCACTACTACAGACTACACCACCGGTGTAAGTTTATACTCCGTTTTAATTTAATTTTTAAATAAATTTTAATATTGAAGTATATTACGTATGTAATTTTTGTGTGATTTAGCAACCAAATTAAAAGGCAATACGTATGTAATTTTTTGGCAAACTAAATACGTATGTAATTTAGGAAAAAAGACGCCTGGACGTTGCATGTGAAAAATAATTTTGCTAATTATAAGCAAACTTCCAACTATATAAACATGCCTATATCAATTAATTGAGTGCTTAATTGCTGTGATATTTTTTTAGAGAACTACTAGAAAAGGGTCAAATAGAAAGGAAACAAGTTCATGCCTAAATGACCTATATTCCTCTCTAACTAGGCTAGCAAGGAACTTGCATATGAATTAGAAATCCTCTCTAAAACCTTCCTCGCTGTTTCTAAATCCTTTCTAGATTCCTTTCTAAAATTGTGGGTCATCAAAATGTATTATTCCTATCTAGTTTCCTTTGTAAAATTGTGGGCAATCAATTCATTTACTAAATAATTGGGAGGAACACAGTTCCTTTCTAAAATTTGATCCTAATAATATAGAATAAATAAATTAATTAAAAATGAATTTAGTTTCTCATATATATATATATATATATATATATATATATAATATACACATAGAAAGATTAAATTAGTTGATTTTCATCATCGATCTTGAGGTCACTCTCATTCCTTCTTTAAGTCCATCGGAATTTGGAAGCTTTGAGCACCAAATATTGAGGTTTCCCATTCTTTCTAAGTCCACTAGAAGCTTTCAGCACCAAATATTGAGGTTTCCCATATGAGCTTTGCACTTGAGTTCCCCAAAAATCTTCTACAAATTTTCTGCGGAAAAAATAACAAATACAATTATGATCAAATGATTTGTAAATAAACACTCAATTAAATGATAATACTACATATTCTTCCCATCCTAATCTTCCCCTTACAGCAACATACCTTAAACAGATATTAGTGCGGTAGTGCCGATCTAATTACATCTATAAGGGCTTCTGGGTAAATCTTTGACTTTCCATACTTCATTTGTAAAAAAAACACCATCAAAAGTAAGATCTACGCCTTGTAGTCTCTATATGCATAATCAAATGATTATTTTAAGCAAATGACTCTTAAACTCTCAAACTTTACCTCAACTAATTTCAGTTAAGCTATAAACTCATAATAGTGAAGCAATAATATCATAAAATCGAATTATGAATTCATACATCTCTCAACTATACGCTACAATTAGAGATAAGCCGGTACAGAGAAGGATTTGAGGCAGAAATATGGAAAATAACACTTACCTTGGAGAGAAGAAATTACACGTTACACGAACACTACAGAGAAGAGAGAGAAGTACAAGAAGAATTTCTGGCGAAATCCAGTAAAATTAATTGCAGAGTAAGTATAATTTCGCTGTGAAGTTCTATTAGATTTGAAGCCTCCGGAAGAACAAGCGGATCTAGATGAGACCGCACTGATGTGAAGCTTACGAGTTACCACTGGAATAAGGAAATATTGGGCCTAGGGCGAAAAACCTAATAATTGAGGGGATAGGGTTTGCCAACGGTGAACCCAAAATTGCGGAGGGAATTTTTTCATTTTATTGGAGTAATTATTATAGTGGGAACACTCTAAAAATTTTAAATAAAAATTTCAAACGTAGGGAGTTCTTTTTTTTGAAGGAACATTAGGACAACACGGTAATAAATCGGCTGATTTGATTGATTCTATTGAAATTTGTGAAGTTCTTACTGAAGTTGATGTATTAGTTAATTCTACTGTATCATAAATAATTATATTTAAAATATTTGTTATTAATAAATAAAATAAAAGATATATGAAAATAGCTAAAAAGTATATGAAAAGTTCTAGTCAATTATGATTTGTCTAAGTCTGATGTGGTCTGCTATATATTGAAATGAATTAAAAAAATCTTTATTTTTATGAAACCAAATATGAATAGAAATATAGTAAGGATTAAGGGAGTATACAAAGCTTGAAAATGGTACGGAGCACAGAAATTTTGTACATTACTTATTAAAATAAGCTCGTACAAAAACAGAGAGGAATTTAATTCCTTTCAATCGAATTAATAACCCTGTTGTTTGTAGAGTGGAACTGAATTCCTAGCTAGTGGGGTTATTATTATTGTTTTTCTAAAATCCAAATAGAGGAGAAATATAGTTCCTTTGTAATGTTTAAGATTCCTTTCTAATCTAATCACATGACCAACTTGAGAAATTCATTGCAAATTTCCTCTGTAAATTAGACAGGAACTTCAGTTCCTCTCACGTTCCTTTCTGTTTCACCCTGCGGGGGGTTTGCTGTCTACTGCGACATAAATGCCCGGCTAGTCATTAATGTTCAAATTTTCTTTCTAGCCGATTAGAACATCTTCAATGCTACAATGTCCACGGCACATATGTGACATGTGACATGTGAGACAGCCACATAAATATTAGTAAATAAATTATCTCTCTCCTTATTTAAATAATATTATATATACAATTTTTGTAAATTTTTCTCTACAATGTCAAGAAAACCGTTTATACGTAGACATTGCGGCTGAGAAACTTACCAAAATTGTTAAGAAAAACTTATCAAAATTGTATAAAAAGATTCAAATAACGAGAGAGGTAATCAATTTGTATAATATTTATGTGTCTATCTCTCATGTCACATGTGCACCGTACACATTATAGCATTGGGGATACTCATTCTTACCGAAAATCAAGGATCACGTCATCTTGATTACTTTTCATTCGTGGCCATTATTGCTACCAATAATTGTTACTCATTATTCTAAATTTTTCATGAGTCACGCAATTAATTAATTAAGGATGAAACCTTACACTTCGTTAGTGCGTTTAATTGCACACAATATCAAGAATGTTTTGATTTTTTTGTGGGAAGAAGTGTGAGAACTGTTCAGCAATCACAATACTTTCTATCTCATTATGACCACAAAAGGCCATCCATTCTGTTGTAAAAATATAAAACAATCCACACTCATAAGACTTAATTATCAATATTGGACTAGAAGCTCGTAGTTTGCACAAATAGGACAAAAAAATAAACTATGTTTCATATGACTAATTATGTGTGCGTTGGACAAATATACTCTTATAGCTATTGAAATGTTTTTAATTCATAATAAAATAATAAAAAATAATAAAAATTCGTAAAAAATACTAAAAAATTAATAAAAATATTTTAAAAATAATAATTAAAAAATTAACTTTTTTAAAAAAAATTAAAAACAAATTTAAAAAAAAAACACAAAAGAAAAAAATCGTCACCGCCTCTGCTGCCCCAGCACCACCACCTCCGGTCACCGGGGGAAAATTCCACATGCATTAGGAATTCTATATTTATGGCAGATTTTAATGAAAATTTTGGCATTCTGAAAGAGTAATATGCATTTTTTGGCATTTTCATAAAAAAGGCAGTTTTATAAGAAAAAATGGTCTTTTTCACACCGATTGAAGGTGGTGGTGCAGGGAGGTAGTACAGGCGGTGGGAAAGGCATACAAAATATTTTTAATTTTTTATGAATTTTTACTATTTTTTATTATTTTTTTTATAAAAAATTAATCTTTTTTATTTTTTATTTTATAAATATTTTTTATTAATTGTTATTATTATTTTTATTTAATTTTTACTATTTTTTACGAATTTATTATGAATTAAAACATATACTCGTAATTATGACTTTTGACTACCTTTTACTCATATTTAAAGGAGGAGTAAGAATGAAATGAAAAAATAGGTATGTTTGCAATAGGACTAGTATGGTCCTATTTTGGAATAGAAACATAAGATGCCCTAATTTTGATTTTTCCCATAGTTTATTCCTATTTAGGATAATTTTTGCACTTATAAATAGTAGTACTAATTTTTTGCTCAAAACGTGGATGCTTGCCCCCCATGTCCCTAGTGGCGGATCCATTATGAGGGGAGTGGGCAACTGATCCCCTCAACCCAACGCAACCCCTATATATATCTAAATTTTTATAAGTAATTGCTTAAAATAAGAATTAAACATAGGAAAAATTCTAAAATATGATTAAGAGTGTTTTCTATCTTAAATACAAGATTTATGTAATCCTATTAAATGAATAAAAGGGTAAAAAATTCACTAAATTTGTTATGTTTAACTTATATTTAGATAATTTTCTCAAATTTTATATATAATTGCATCATTACACATATGTAATATAAATTGATCTTCTTTTTATTAGTATTTGTACATATATATATCTTAAACTAAATATAATCAAACATTATTAATAATGTAATTTGCTATTTGTGAAATATGTGACTAAATTGTAGTGTAATTTAGCCCCTAGTCAACAAATTGTTTGTATACGTGCGCCGCTCCATGCCCCTACTCCTCCACTGGTACATAGTATTTTGTTGTCATATGCATAATAATCTGGTTTCCCTTATGTACTCCGTATTAATGTGCATGATTTTAGCCTTTTACCTGCCCATTTTTTACTATAAATATATGCATGCATGTACTATACAGCTACACATTTACTGTCCACAATCACCCACTACAAAAACATGAAACAAAGCTTAATTCCAATAATTCCAAATGTGTGAATGTATCATCATGTTTTCATTAAAGTCATAATAACTTTTCAATTCTTTAATGTAATGTGATGTAATTTTAAAGTGATTCGTTATATATGCATAACTTTAAATGAATTTTGTTTTCATTCTATGTATTTGAATAGATCGACTATATCTAGCTACTCAAGTCCCTAGACTTTACTATTATTTTGAAATTTTCACACATTTGTTTTACTATTTTATTTCTAAAAACATAAAAGGTGTAAAATTGAATTTTTCATATCTTACGATATAGTCCACTACAAAATTGTTTCCAATAATACACTATACTCGCCATTATGTTTTT